CAAAAAAAAAAAAAGAAGAATGAGCTTGAGACATTTATAGCTAAATGGAGGCACCTTGAGACCATACACTTAGGTGAAATAAATTGGACACACATGTTTAAATACCACATTGATTCTCTGTGTGAGAAACTGAAAGTGGAAATAAGGATCAAAGTGTATAATAGACATTGGGAAATTGGAAGAAAATGTTCAAATGAGAAGGGGAATGAGGGAAGGGGAGGGAGAAAGGAAAGAAGGGAGAAGAAATAGGAAAATAGAAGGGAAAAATGGAAAAAATCCTCTCTTCAATCACAGAATGGAGGGCTGGGGGTTTAGCTCAGTGGTTCCAGCGCCTGCCTCACAAGTGCAAGGACCTGAGTTCAATCCTCGGTACCAAAATAAATAAATAAATAAATAAATAAAAAATCACAGGATGGAGAAATAAGAAGAGGTCAAAGTGGGCACAGCGAGGAGAATAAAAGACTGTACTGTCAGATGGCAGAGGGCTTCTTTTCTGTAGTTTAGGAACCAGGAGTTGGCTTGGTTAATTAAAAAAACTGTTTAAAATAGATATCCATAAAAATTATAATCTTTTAAATATTTAATTTAAAACATGTATGTTTACCAATATTTGCTATATTACCTTTCCTGTATGAAGTATACTCATAAGTATTGTAGTTTCTTGTTATTAAGTGAGGAATTTAAAAATTCTTGCAAGGCACTCTGAATAAAAGATACTTTTGGTATTAATAAATTGTTTTCTCCAGTTGTTTACAGTCACCTCAGCTACCCCTACATGAACTGCAGGTGTCTTCAGCGAATTTTTCTAATCAAATCTTTGAAAAGAATTCAATTTGGCTTTCATAAAGTAAACAGTTATCTTCCTGCACCTGTATTTTATTAGTTTATAAAATATTTAATTACATGTCACAGGAACAAGTACCACTGATTTAAACACATTTGGGACTAATAAAATATATACTTAGTGAACAGGTAATTTCACTGGGGGATGGCACACCAGTGTCTGGGGGAGGAGAACTATCTTTTAACCTTGGACATTTGTGGTTCTACAGCCATTAGCCAGCTTTTCTAAATGGAGGGAATGCCTAACTAAGCATGGTGGTACACGCCTGGAACCCTAGCACTTGGGAGGCGGAGGCAGGGGGATCGTCCTAGTTCAAGGCCAGCCTGGGCTACATAGTGAACTCAATGCCAGCCTGAAGTACGTAGCGATACCCTGTCTCAATACATACATACAGACAGACAGACAGACAGACAGATGGAGCGGATGGCGAGACCATTAAGTAGGTGCGATGGTTAATTGTGCTATGTCAACTGGACTGGATTAAGAACTGCCTAGTGAGTTAGTGGAGCACAGTTCTGGGTGTGTCTGTGGGCCACTGACACATGGGGCAAAACCAAGAAGGGAAGCCCACCCAGGTATGGGTGGCACCAACCAACCAACAGGCTTGTAGCCTGGACGGAATAAAAAGGCAAAGAAGGAAGTCTTGGCTTCTTCAGAGGAGCTCCAGTCTTCGCTGTTGCCTTTGGACACTGGTCTCATTCCTTCGCCTTCCAGTGCAGACGCTGTGGCTTCCCACATGAACACCCAGACCATCCAGTGAGTGCCAGGCCTCTGACCTCTGACCCGCCCCTCTGGACTCCAGCACACAGGTGGCCACTTACATTCTTCTGCCCCTGATTCTGCAGGTGACCATTGTAAGCCTATGTAGTAAATCCTTTATATAACCATACATATATTTTGTATTAAATCTGTGCCTCTAGTGACACCTAACTCATATGGAAGGTCAGTGAAGAGGCTAAAATAAGGCAATGAAGGTGGAAAGGATGATTATGCAAGAGGTGATTGCCAAGAAATGATCACCATTTGGACATAGGTAGTAAGAAAGAGAAATCTAGGATCACTACTAGTTTGGGACAGTTCGATAGATGATCATGATGCAATCCTCAGAAACTGGGACTGAAGTAAGGTCAGGTTCTGGGAGAAAGATGTAGTCCGCTTTAGAACATGTTTGTTGGCCGGGGATTTAGCTCATTGTTTTTGCTGTCTGCCATACAAGCGCAAGGTCCCGATTTCGATCCCTGGTACCAAAAAAACAAAAACAAAAACAAACAAACAAAAACGTGTTTGTTGTATTTGAGGGATGTGTTCTGTGTACGTTTGTTCCTTGTGTTTCCAGCATTCATTACCCTTTCTTTCTGCACAACACATGATCTGCTCTTCCTAACTCTTGCTTCTCGTAGTTTGGGTACAGGCTACCCAGTTCTAAGAGAACCCCAGGTCTAAGAGTCCAGAACACAGGTCAAGCCTGAGTTAATCAGCACCCTGTGTTCCTCTGGATATGGTGAGTGGCCTGGGGTGGTCACAGGATCTAGGAATCTCAGTACCGTTGCTGAAAATTCCATGGCAGAGGGGATTGCTTTTCCCCCCTTTCCCAGTGGTTTCTAATCTGAGTGGTTGGAGCCCTAGAAATGTTGAACACTAAGCTAAGACCACTGGGAAAGGGACTGAGAATGGAGCCATGGCTGAAGAAACAGAGCCACGGAATTTACAGAAAGACACCAGCTCCTGGAGCTGGGAGAAAGCTAAAGCTATCCCTTGATTGCTCCGTTACATGAGCCCATAAATTCCTACTTTTGCTTAAAGCAATTTAAATTGAATATTCTTTCACTTGTAGCAAGAAGAGTCCTAGCCATGGGAGACCCACACAGATGCTAAGTTAGACAGATGAGCTGGGAACTGTAGAGATTTGAGCCCCGGATGTAAAATTGTAGCCCAAAGGCAGGAGTTCGGAGGTTACCTAGGGGAAATGAGCAGAGAAGAATTTCCTGAAGTATGGTCCATAGATTGGCTGCATCAAAAGCATTTTGGGGGATGGGGAGGGGTCAAAAATGAGAAAGTCAAGATAGTACATAGTGTGTACTTCTTTGAAAAGTTAAGCAAGTGACAGGGAGGAGGAAGGTAGTATGTAGGGGTCGGGGAAGGTATCTCTAACCAGTTCCTTTCCATGATGTCTGCATTCTTTCTCCTTTGCTAAGTTTTCTTGTTGGCCCCCAGGCCCTTCTGCCTCTGCCTCTCCAGCTGAGTGTTCTCTCTAGATTCAGCTAACAAATGCCTCCTGGCCACTGCCCATGGGACCTCCCAATAGTGCCCAACACCACACACCCACAGTGAACTCATCCCCTCCTCCCAGGCCAATCCCTCCTCCTGGCATCTGCCCCGCTCACCTTCCTTACAGGGGGAAGCACGTAGGGCTTTGCTATTTGAATCTTGAGTTAGAAACTTGGTCTTGCTTGGTACTCCGCTCCCTTCCCTTCTCTCTTCAACCTCGCTCCAGACGGGCTCTTGCTTTATACTGTACCCCAGGCTGACCTCAATCTTGTGACCCTCCTGCCTCAGCCTCTTGAGTGGCTGGAAATACAGGAGGTGTGCCATCACTGTCTGTTCGGATCTTGTTTTTTGTCACAACTCCAGGGTGCCAAGAAGTAAAGATTTCTCAGTTAGTTCTCTTGAATTCTGATGTCTTTTTCTTTGGTAACAGGGATCAAACTCGGGACCTTGCACATGCGAGGCAGGTGGCAGAACCACTGAGCTAAATCCCTGGCCCAAATCCTGATGTCTTAAAGTTAAGGGCCAGTGATTTCTTGGTGGAGAAGCAAATAGTATAACCCTGTTATGGCTTGTGTCTAGATGTCTGCCAGAGTCTCATGCAGTCATAGGTGGCTTTTTCAGCAGTGGTTGGATCTAGCGTGTGCGATGCTGGGATTCAGGGCGTGTGATTACTAAACCAGCACACTGATTGGTTTGGCACCACCATAATCCCCGGTAGTCTGAATAAAAGGGGCAGAAAGGCCATTCGGGTTCCCTGGTTGCTTTTGCTACTGTGTGGGCGGCATGAACTGTTTCTCTTCTGCCATGTGCCACCCTGCCTTGGAGCCAGAGGATTATGGACTGAAACCGCTGCAAACTGTGAGCTAAATAAACCTTTCCCCTTTAACCTTGGGTGTCAGGTATTTTATCTCGGCAATGAGAAAGAAAGTAACTGGTAACACAAACCCTATAACCAGTGTAACCTTAGATGCCTGATATTTTTCCATCTCTTTCCTGGCATACTCTGAAATAACACTGTTTTTCATACAGGTACACCTGCCAAGGGAACATGAAGGCTTGTATTGGCTACAGCATTTTCTCCTTCTCATGCTGCCCATGAATTAAGGAACTCAGGTATCTAAAAGATACAGTTCTACTTGGAAAAACTGGGACTTCCTCGCCTGAGGCATTGGCCTTGTTGGAAGGTCAGGGTCAAAAAGCACCCAGGGAGATGGTCTGATCTATTCTACTTACTTTACGCAGGAATAAACCGTGATGCCGATAGTTTTGGTAGTTAAATCTCACATAGATGGGTAAGTAGCTAGGGGTTCCCTGCAAACACATCACGTTTCCCGCGAATTTCCAGGAGCAGGTGCACATTGGTGAACAATCTGCTTCTCTCTGCCTTTCTCTTCTCATTTGTTATCTGCACCCTAGCTTGTCCTTCTCATCTCTCTAGGCAACCTCCTTGCTCCTTTATCAGAAGGTTCAGAAAAAAATGAAAGTGCACATTGAGCCAGGTGCAGTGGTTCGTGCCTATAATCCCAACACTGGGAGGCTGAGGCAGGAGTTTCTCGGGTTTGAGGCCAGCTTGGGCTCCTCCATATCAAAAAACCAAAAACCAAACCAAAAGAAACATCAAGGGTAAGCTGGCTGACACCAGCTTACACCAAAGCTGAGAAAGGAAACCCACAGCCAGGCATGAGGCCCTCAATGTGACAAGGCCCCGTTCCATTCCTGAGGTGCTCCCATCCTTTGCTCCTGTCCCTCAGCTCTCTGGACAGTCACCTCTCCTCAGAACAGTGCCCTCCCTTACCCTCTTTACTGAGTACTCCGATGCTTCTGGTAACGGCCTCCATTCCTCCCGCACTCCACCCCCTCCCTTGCACAAATTTCCTGACTCTCTGTGTATGTTTTTAAAAAACGATTTGGTTTTATTACTTCCAGCAGAAGTGGGCTGATGGGGTGGCGGGTGGGCCAGGAGGAGCAGGTGACAACCACACACCTGGTGGGGAAGATGTGGGGCCAGGCCCAGGGGCCTCAGAAAGAGGGCTTCTGGGCCGCCAGGAAGGAGTCATGGCAAGCTAGGGCTAAGCCACCGATAAGGTTAAGAAACTCCTGGAAATCCAGCTGCCCATCACTGTTGAGGTCCAGCTTCTTCATCATGCGGTCGAGGACACCAGGGTCCTTCTGGTTCTGCAAAGACAACAGTAAGACCTTTGTATCAGACGTCAGAGGCACTTTGAAATATGCTGCCACGCTGATTCTCACTGGAGGAAGGTACAGGAAGGGGTTATTAATATTCCTACTTTTCACATTTAAAACACTCAAAGAGGAGAGGCAGCTGCCTCGGGGCCAGAACTGGGCTTAAACCCAGTTTTTCCTGCTCCTGGTCCAGGGTTCTTTGTGTGGCACTAGGTGTCATTCAACTTAGCAACGTCAATAAAATACTTTTCAAGAGTCGCATTCAATTCCAATAGCTACACCATATACAAGTGGGGGGATTTCAGGTAGAAAGAGGGTGCAGGCCCTGCCCGATCAGTGCATCCTCCACTCATCTGAGCCCCCAACACCAGCACCCTCTGCCAGCCACTGGAGTCGAGGCGGAGTTGTAGAGCCAGCCCCTTACGGCACGCGCTGTGGTCCAGCGCTCAGCAGGCCTCATGGTGGGCGCGTGGCTGGTGCCTACCCTGTAGGGTAGGGCAGGTACAGACCACAGAGCCTCAGCAGGCGGGACTGCCCTACCGCTTTTAGGGTGGAGGAATAAAATTAGAAAATGGTTTTATTGTGCCACATACTATTTCATATACCTCTCCCCATACATGGAGAAAATAAGACCATTCCTTGTGTTAGGCAGTTTGCCTACTATATATACATACATCTTTCTTCAGAGAAAAGACTGTAGCAGACACATGGGGCTCACCCTGAGGCCAGAGGCGGGGAGTCAGCTGTGGGTGCTCCCTTCCCGGCCCTTCCCCCAGTCTTGCTTCACGCTGGGCAGTTGGGGGCGTGGGGCCAGAGCCATACCTTGGTGAAGGCAGCCAGTTCTACATTCATGAACGTTAGGAACTCCGTCTTGGAGAGTTTGCTGTTGTTCCCATCCTTTCCCGCGTACTTCTGGAAAACAGCTATCAGGGACTCAATGCAGCGCTCGGTCTCTGTAGGCTTGGACATTTTTGCCTTTGGAGAAAGGAAATGCAGAGCTCAGACAGGGACGAGCTATGAGAGGCTGGATACTGCAGAGCATGCCAGAGCAGCTCCTCTCCCCGTTCTGGATCAAAGCTGCTTTCTGAACAACCAGGTCACTTTTCAGGGCACCCCAGGGCCCAAGGCAACCCTAAGTCACACTCTGTGAGCTTCTTCCTCATGTTTCCTCTTTTATTTCAGGGGAAACACAGTAAGGGCACACGTGTGAAAGCAGAAGAGGAAAGGAAGGGTTACTGATATTTCTAGAAAGCACGAATATATATATATCTATATATATAGATATATCTCCACAAGTTCATATGCACACCAAGCATTAGTTTCCTTTATTATTTTTTTTTTTCTTTCTTCAGTACTGAAGTTTGAAGTCAGGACTTTTGCACTGAGCTACATCTCAAATTTTTTTTATTTTGAGACAGGGTCTTGCTGATTCATCAAGTTGCCCAGGCTGGGCTCGAACATGGGATCCTCTTGCCCCAGCCTCCCAGGGTGCTGGGGTTACAGGTATGCACCCCACCTCCCCTAAGTTTCCTGTTAAATAAGAATGTGTAGAGCTACCATGACGAATGAAATGCCAGTTTCTTTTAAGTTATTTAAAAAGTTCTGCAAGGCTTTGTGCATTTTCTCAAAGAAAATGAAAAGCATAGCTGTAATTGTGTATGGGGTAAGACATAAGAAAGTTTTAGGTGTTCAAAAGCAGATTTCCTATTTAAGAGCGAGGAACCACTGATTTTACTGTGAAGCCGCTGAGGCAGAAGGAAACCAGCATGGCAGCGTCATCCCTAGGACGTGGCCTCTAGGAACCTCTGCAGACCTGGGCCTTTCACCTTCCACTTCCAGGTAGGAATGCCTAGTGGAACTTCTCATATCAGAGCCGAACCACAGGCGTGGCTGTACCAGGAGGATCAAGTCCTGTTCGGGACCCACTTTCCTCACAGAAGAATGCTTCAAGGAGGCTCTGTTGAGCCCAGTAAACTGTCCCTGCCACAGGGACCTGGGGCCCAGACTCGAGGCGTTGATGGCTCCCCTGGTGGAGTAGAGCAGCAGCTGCAGGGTTCCTGGGAGCCCCGGGCCACAGCCTTGCTCCTCCCAGGCTTTCCGTCTCGGTATTAACAGTGATTTCTGTTTGGAAGGCCATGTTTGGGAGTCAGCATTTAGCCTTTAATTTGTCCTTAGGGACAGACTTTCTGGGCCCAGAACTGAAGGCTTTCGGGTGCTAAGGACCGACCTGCACGGCGCTGGCCTCCAGCCCCACTGTGGCCTCCCCTCCCTATCCCCTCGCTGCTTCACCGGCCTAGCCAGATGCTGATCCGTAAAGCATTTAGAGCTCCAGACCTTCTGGAGGTGGAGCCTATTCCAACAACCAGAATGTTGGGGAGGCCCCCCTCCAAGGAACTTATTCCTAAGAAAAATGTTAGCAGGTTGAGGGCTTGGAGGAAACCGAAAATACCACAGCCTAGGGACAGACATGTTTGCACAACAGGCAGGCGCTTCTTATCAGGCCTAAAATCTCAGTCTCTCCAGCGGGCAGCGAGGGAAGGTGGCTCGGGAAAGCTCACCGGAGGGGTAAGGAAAGGTTCCAGCCAGAGGCTGGCTCTGGCCTTTTCCCACCCCTACAGATGCTTCTGTCACCTTTCCTTGCCGAGTTCAGATTGCTTTCATTTCCCGGTTTCAAAGGGTTTTTCTGTTTGATGCACCCCCCCCATCAGTCTTGATTGTAATTTAGACTATATTTTTTCTCTTGAAAAAACGTTGCTTTCAGCCACACGGAGAAAATTCAGACCTCTCTGCATTTCCTGCCCCAGAAGTGATTCTCGAAGGCAAGAGAAACCCAAGTATCAAATTACGGAAATGGAATTACAGAATCGTTAGAGCTCAAGGGACTCTGGGGGCCCAGAGCCGGGAAGGAAGCTTTGTCCGGGGTGGGGCGGTGGCCCAAGGAAAGGAGAACCCACCCTCTCCACCCGGGAGTCTCACTCGGCGGGGGCTGTGACGACCGGGAAAAAACAGTGTGAAGAGCAGAGACTCTGGGAGAATTTTTAAAACGCACTCAACTTTTAAGGAAAGAAACAAACGGGGCGGGGGATTTAGCTCAGTGGTTCCGTCGCCTGCCTCGCAAACACAAGGACTCGAGTTCGATCCCCGGTACCAAAAAAAAAAAAAGAAAAAAAAGAAACAAACGCATATAACACTGGGGGAAAAAAAAAGAATTCTTGAAGTTCTCCTCCTTAACCCCCACTCCCAGGGATCCGCGGTCGCAGCCGCCTCCCGGGCAGTCACCCCACTTCTTCACCCCACGCCGGTGCCACGCCTGTTTCGGGCGCCCCGTGACCCCGACTCCCTCCTCGGACGGGAAGAGGGAGACAGTCGGGTCGGAGGCTGTACACCGACGGACTGACACGGGGCCAGGCAAGCAGACCCAGCCCTAGGGGGCCGGCTGGTGAAGACCACAGCCCTGCGGCCCGCGGGTCCCGGGTCTCTGCGGCCGGGGGCGGCGCCCGGGAACCCGCCGGCCCTGAGCTCGATATTCCTGTAACTTTCACCAAGTCGTCTTCTTCCTCTGATGTCTCTCCGAAATGACAGTAAGCCTCGCGGGGTCAGAACCCCGATTTGGACTCCTTCGCGGAGGGAGACCAAGAAGGAGGAAGTGAGTTCTCGAGGGGCGCAGCCGGCAGCACAGGGGCGGGAGGCGGGAAGGAGGGGCGCGGGCGCGGCCGGCTTCGGCCCCCTGTGCCCTGGGTCTCTGCCGCGGCTTAAGGAGCCTCTGATCCCTCAGGACGCAGGCGACCAAGATTGAAAAATTCTCTTCCTGGTCTACTAGGGCACCTCGGACGCCTCCCTCGAGAGCAGCCTGGCTCAGCTCCCCTGCTGGGCCCCGGCCTCGGCGGGGCGGTGAGGGGGGCGCGGAGGGGACCCCGCCCCGCCTCGGCTCCTCTCCGCAGTCCGAGACCTCATCCAGAGCAGAACGAAAGAGCCGGGCGGCCGCCCGCTATGACCACGGGTGTGCCTGACCGCAGGCTGCTCCTGCCCGTCCTCTCGCCTCTGACCGCCTTTTCCTGAGCTGTTCCCGCCACGTCCACGCGGGCCTCAGCGAGGAAGCCTGGACCTTGCGCTGGGAGGAAAGCGGGGAGCCGGGCTTACCGAGTCGGCGCGCGGGGCAGCGGAGCGTCCGGGAGCGGAGGCGGTGGCGGGGCGGACTGAGCGCCGGGGTGTCGGCCCCGCCGTCCACGGCCACGCCCGCCCCGGCCACGCCCCGTCCTGACTCGGCCCAGCCCGCCCGCAGGTTCCGGTTTGTCAGCCCGCGGCCTCCTCCGCTAAGCACGACCTGGCCTTAGAACTCACGTACACCCATTGTCCTCTCCGGAACGGAACCGATTTCGCACTCTTTCCTTGTCCCGTGAGCCTGGAAGACTTTTAACCTCAGAATTAAAAGTTCTGGGCCGGGGATTTAGCTCAGCGGTGGCGCCGTCTGCCTTGCAAGCCCAAGGCCCCGAGTTCGATCCCTGGTGCAAAAATAAAAAAGTTCTGCAAAGCCATCTGGGGCAGTCTGTCCAGGCCCATGGTCTTTCTCTTGTACCAGGGGTGGCCAAAAAGCACGGTAAATGTTTAATTTTAAAACATTCACTAAAGGAAAAGGCGCATTGCCATTGACCCCCTCAAACTACTCCACCTCGCTTCGAACACACTTGTCCCACTTTTTGAACCAGCGCTCGAAGACCCGTTTCCTGATTGTCTGTACGAGGTGTGATCAAAAGTACAGTGAACGCTGCAGGCTTGTGAAATACAGCGTGTCTTCATCCATCTTTTTTATTTTTATTTTTTTGAGACGGTCTTATTTTGTAGCCCAAGCTGGCTTGAACTCACTGTACAGTCCAGGCCAGCCTCAAACTCTTAGCGATCCTGCTGCCTCAGCCTCGGGAGTGCTGGGATCACAGGAATGCACCACCATGCCTGGCTCCTCATTCATTTTATTCACAGGATGTGGCACCTGGCAGCATGCGACTTCCGGAGCTTCCCTAACCCTAAAATGATCATGAAAGGTAAACGTTTTGAATCAGTTAAAGACATTTATGAAAGAGCCCTTCCAGAACTGCTCCAGAAGGTGGCAAGAAGGATGGGATAAGTATTCCAGGGGTGCGTGCGTGTGTGTGTGTGTGTGTGTGTGTGTGTGTGTGTGTGTTGGTATTTTGAGTGAGGCTAATGACAATATCTTTTACTGTAATAAATTGAAAAAATTTAAATGCTGAATTTTTCAATCCTACGGTGTATGCACTCCCTCTGCACATTCAGGTTAGAGGAGCAGAAAGGTTCCTTTTAAAACAAGGAAGAGAGGGAAGACAATGCGGGGTCATAATCACAGAGCAGGTCCCCAGAGCCAGGACTCTCTCTCCACACTGAAGATATTTAATAAGCGGTGGTGATTATTGCCACAGGATTATGGATGGTTATTGCCAAGGATTATTGCCACTCTGCCCTCACACTTTAAACTGATAACAGCCGAAAAGCAAAAGACGAAAATAAAACCCCAAACACAAAACTGAACAACTGCAATTAAAAATTAACCTGTGCTAGTAAGACATTCGTCTGGCAGTTTCAATAGAGGGGAGCTTTTTAAGAACCGGAAGTTCTAGCCTCTGATCCTGGCTCCACAGCTTTGTTGTAATACTTTTTGACAAGACCCCTCACCGTGACCTCTGAGGTTCCCTTTCCTCATCTGTTAACCGGCTGAGTTGCCTTTCCTATTTCGTAAGGTTGTTATGGCTGTCAGATAAAATGACGGTTTGAGAGGAAGGGCTTCAAGCCCCCCGGAGTAGGTGGGGACCGAAGGCAGTGGGCTGCCACGCCCTCCGGCATCTGTTCACATCCGGCGCAGTCCTCACCTCTGCCTTCAGCCTCTCCAGACCCACGTTTTCTGTCACTTGTTTGGGAACTTGAAAGGCCCACGTGTGCTTGGACTCGGTAACTCCAGAAATGTTTCATTTTCCCTACACCAGTTTGTCTCCGGCTTCCCTCTCCCTGCCGCCCTCCTCCGTGTCCCTACCTGAGAACATGAGAGTCATGTTTGGAACTCTAAACGTTTTTCTCACTTACAATTCATATCAAATGCCAAATAGTCCGTTCCAGTTTCCACTGTTCTAGTTTAATTTTCATTCCTTCTTTTGTCCTATTTTCTAACTAGTCTCTTGCCCTTCAGTCTGTCCTGTTGACTGTTAAAAACACATTTTCCTAACGTGCAGCTCCGATCAGGGGATTACTTCAAAATAAAACACAACACAACAAAAGAAACAAAATGGCCTTTATATCAAATCCAAGCTTCTTAGTCTCCATGTGGCTGAGTAACCCCTTTAACCTTAATTAATTAATTAATTAAAGAATTGACTCATTCAACAAGTATTTGAGGATTTTTTTTTTTGGTAGTCCCAGGGACTGAACCCAGGGCCTTCATACTGAGCTACATTGCCAACCCCTTTATTTTTTGTTTTGAGACAGGGTCTCATAAAGTAGCTGAGTTGCCCAGACTGGGCCCAAGAGGTCTTAGATGGGCTTGAGACCTATGTTGGGGGTGCAGTCCATGGATCACTGCTAGGATTCTTTAATACCCTAATTTTATATGTGAAATTTTCTGTATATGAGAATTTTTTTTTCTGGGGGATGATCCATATCTTTCATCTGATTCTCAGAAAAATCTACGATCAAATATATTAAAGAGTTATTACTCAATTTCTCCAGACTCAATCGTGAGGCCTTCCAAGCCATACTACTTTTAAAGAGGAAACATCTCACTCACAGCCCTGCTGAGGGGCAGCCCCGGTGTCTATGTTTTCCTTGATTTGACCTTGTGCCCTCTGTCACAGCTACCTGGATTGAGGTTACCTCTGGGCAGTAGTGGATTATTTTTTTTTGGTACTGTTATCAAACTCAGGACCATTCGCTTGCGAGGCAGGCTTGGCACCACTGAGCTAAATCCCCGGCCCAGTAATGGATGTTTTGTGACATGAATTTGGAAAGATGAGTGAGGTCTACCATTCTCTTGTTCTTGAGAAGCTGAAATTAGAAACAGATAGAGAATTAGGGATTCAGAAGATTTGAACTGAGTATTTGAAGAGAATCCACAAGAAGACACCAAGACACAGTGAATAAGTGGAAGCTATGAAATTTGGAAGAAATACGTGGAATAGAGGGGGAAATAAGCTAGCTGCTAACTGGAAATGAAAGAAGAGGTGACCTGGATATTAGCTCAGTTGTGCAAATGGGGGAGCTCTGAGAATGAGGAGTCCCCCATCTAACTCAAGCTTTTGCTCTTCCTGACTCAGCTGTTCAGTTTTTCCTAAATTTCTGTAAGACATTTAGTCTTTCAGTTTCTCCTTATCCATGAAGTAGCTTGAGTGAAACCACAGAAAAGGAGTGAACCAAATAAGCATGACTGGATCGGAATGAAGCTGGGGGTCAGGCCTGCTGAGTGAGGACGGCCTTGGGTCACATGCAGGGGCTTTGTTAGTGGATGATCAGTGACAGGAGGCAGCAGTCAGGAAAGGCAGCATGGGGGGTGGCTTTGGCAGTGAGCTAAACAATGAGTCAAGCTGAAGGGTTAACCCAGGCAAGGAGCTGAGGCTGCTAAACCGACAGCCAGAGACAAAAACGAGGTGCAGGTGAGGGAAGGGGATGTTCAGGAAGTAAATGTGGGGATTTCTTCGTCCAGGGTATTTCTTACGTCCAACCTGATCTCTGTGTGGCTTGGATATGTTCTCAGATGGATACGACAGAGTGTGACAAGTGTAAGGATAGGGCTGTGACCAAGGCACAGGGACCATGCTTGGAAGGAAGTGAGAGGCTCACTCGGGCTCACCACACATCAGCCAGCCCACAGAGAGAAAAACAAACCGCTCTCTTTTCACCTGTAAGATGGCGCGAATAGTGGTTGTGGTGAGGATTACAGCTTACCTTGTGCCGAATGCTTAGGATTTGCGGCAATGTGAAACTTCAGAGAAGTTTTATTTATTATTATTATTATTATTATTATTATTGGTACCAGTAATCAAACTTGGGACCCTGTGCTTGCAAGGCAGGTGCCGGAACCACTGAGCTAAATCCCCGGCCCCAGAGAAGTTTTACATAATGGCTTGTGGAAAAGCGAGTTCGTGCAGGTGGTTCAGGGACACTGGAGTCCAAGGGATGGGATGTTGGTGAATGTGGGCAGAAGCTGTGAGATGTGAAACTGGAAAGACAAGGGTTGGATCATTAAGAGCTCTTTCTGGACATGTGGATTGTAACCACTGGCTCTTTACCATTCTTTTTCTTTTCTTTCTTTTGGTACCGGGAATCAAACTCAGGGCCTTGTGGTTGCCAGGCAGGCACAGTGCCACTGAGCCACATCCCTGGTCCTGGATCTTTACCATTCTCAAGAGCCAATGACGCTTTATAAGCTGGAGTGTGAGCTGATCCTCTTCACTTTTGGAAGTGCAGAAAATGTACTAGAGTGGAGAGAGACAAGAGGCAAAGAACACAGGAGGATACTGTAGTAACAAAGGCGAGATGGCCATGGTGACGGGAGAGAAAATACCCAAGTACCGAGAAGGGAAAACAACCTCGGAGGGGCGCTCTTTGGATCTGGGGGTTAGAGAGGAGGCATCAAGAGTGATAGGACCCTGGGACTCTGCCCTGGTGACCAGGCAGGTTGCGGACCCATCCCCAAGATGGAGATGTAACCCGAATAACATTTCTGGGGTTGCTTAGGGCAAGGTCATGCATGGTTCAATACTGATCTTAATGTGTCTGAGGGGAGCAGGACAGGCTGATGCTGAAGGAACGAAGCACATCCTGTGTCCATCTCATCTTCCCCGGCAGCTCCTTGCACCGTCATTCTTACCACACTTTACCATCATTTACTGCTTACCCAGTTGTCTTTCTCACTAAACTGCAAGCTTCTCGAGGACAGAGATGATGCTTTGGTCACTGCGGTGTTTCCAGGGTGCATCCGGAGGCCTTCCCTGGGCAGGGCCCTGTTAACCTGGGGCAACGGTGGTTAACAAGCCAGGCACAGTCTGTTCCGATGGTGCACACCCTCGCCCAGCCTAGATTTATACACAGTGTTTAAGGAGCAGCTGGAGGAAGATGACCCTGCACAGAAGGAAGAAGAGACTTCTCTGGTATCACCAGAGTCCCCAAAGAGAGACTTCTAGAGTGGACGGAGAGGTTGACGAGGTGACAGACTCCAAGAAGCAGCTGTGATAACGTCTGATATACGCCC